CCAGCAAGGAAATTAGATCAGAAATGAAAAAACTCCCAACAAACAAAAGTCCAGGACCAGATGGCTTCACAGGTGCATTTTACCAAACATTTGAAGAAGAATTAATACCTCTTCTTCTCAAACTATTCCAAAAACATAGAAAAGAAAAGTTCCAAATTCATTTTATGAGGCCAGTGTGACCCTGACAACAAAACCAGATAAAGACTACAAAAAAAAAAAAAAAACCTGTAGGCCAATATCTCTAATGAACATAGAAGCAAAAATGCTCAACAAAATATTAGCAAACAATACATTCCAACAATATATTAGAAAAATCATACACCACAATCAAGTGGGATTTATTCCCAGGATGCAAGGGTGATTCAATATTTGCAAAACAACCAATGTAATCCATCACATCAATAAGAGAAAGGATAAAAACCATATGATCATTTCAGTAGATGCAGAAAAAGTTTTTGACCAATGTGAGACCTGAAGGCATAAAAATCCTTGAAGAGAGCACAAGCAGTAATTTCTCTGACATCAGCCATAACAACATTTTTCTAAATATGTCTCCTGAGGCAAAGGAAATAAAAGCAAAAATAAACTATTGGGACTGATCAAAATAAAAAGCTTCCACACAGCAAAGGAAACAACAAAACTAAAAGGCAACTTATGGAATCGGAGAAGATATTTGCAAAGGACGTCTGATAAAGGATTTCTATGCAAAATATATAAAGAACTTATATAACTCAAAAACCCCAAATAATCAAATTTAAAAATAGGCAGAAGGCATGGACATTTTTCCAAAGAAGACATACAAATGACCAACAGACACATGAAAAGATGTTCAATATCAGTCTTCTTCAGGGAAATGCAAATCAAAATGACAATGAGATATCACCTCACACTTGTCAGAATGGCTAAAATAAAATTTAAAAATCCATGAAACAGCAAGTGTTGGCATGGATATCGAGAAAAAGGAACCTTCATGCACCACTGCTGGTGGGGATGCAAACTGGTGCAGCCACTGTGGAATACAGTATGGAAGTTCCTCGAAAAATTAAAAATAGAACTACTCTACAATCCAGGAATTGCACTAGTGGGTATTTACCCCCAAAATACAAAACACCCATTCAAAGGGATACATATATCTGTACATTTATTGCAGCATTATTCACAATACCCAAGATACAGAAGCAGCCCAAGTGTTCATCAATAGATGAATGGACAAAGAAGATATGGTATACACACACACACACACACACACACACACACACACACACAATGGGAATATTATGCAGCCATAAAAAAGAATGAAATCTTGCCATTTGCAATGACATGGATGGAGCTAAAGAGTATAATCCTAAACAAAATAAGTCAGAGAAAGACAAATATCATATAATCTCACTCATGTGTGGAATTTAAAAACTGACACAGGGGCGCCTGGATGGCGCAGTCGGTTAAGCGTCCGACTTCAGCCAGGTCACGATCTCGCGGTCCGTGAGTTCGAGCCCCGCGTCAGGCTCTGGGCTGATGGCTCAGAGCCTGGAGCCTGTTTCCGATTCTGTGTCTCCCTCTCTCTCTCTGCCCCTCCCCCGTTCATGCTCTGTCTCTCTCTGTCCCAAAAATAAATAAATGTTGAAAAAAAAATTAAAAAAAAAAAAACTGACACAAATGAGCAAAGGATAAAAAGGGAGAGACAGACCAAGAGACAGTCTCTTAACTATAGAGAACAAACTGGTTATTAGAGGGGAAATGGGTGGGGGGGTCTAAAGAGTATCATGATGAAAAAAATAAAGAAAATAAAACAAAGAAAAGAGGCTACATATGAATGTCAATCCACACTCAGCATTACCCCCAGAGAACAGCCAGTAGTCGATAGCATATTCCTGATCTTGAATCAGTATTTAAGAAAACGGAGAAAATTCCACCTGTAATCCAAATGCATGCACCTTTTTTTCAGTACATATGTTTCAATTATAGATGCAATTTCCACTGTGGCAAGAAACAAGCAGCAAATACGAGACATTGCTTTTCCAAAATGAATTATGACAGCTGTCAAAGTAAAGAAGGCTCGCATGAGGCTTTGAAATGAAGGATGATAATTTCAGCAAAGATCATTTCTGTGATTTCAGGAAGATTATTCAAGGGACATCTGGCAGCAAACTTTTCAGTATCTTGAAAGACCTGAATCAATCACTTCAGGCCCAAACTAGAAAAATTCTTAGCATTGAGAATAGGCTCTCCAGACTTCATTAAGACAACCAAGCCGAATTGCAAACAACTTAGTCCCTGAGAGCTGGACTGTTCTCAACTCTAGGTGATTTCCTTCGCTTATCAGTGGAGTAGATTGATGGCATATTGTTGGGCATACTTAAAAACTCAAGCCCAAATGTTGTGACAGAACATGAAGAAATTATTTCTAGGAATATATGCAACCCAAGAATGGATTAGGTACCCAAGCATTCAGGACTACCTTCCAGGCTGAAACATTCCATCTTTCAGCTTCCTGTCAATGTCACAATTGCAGGGTGCTATGAGGTGTCCTAAGGAGAAATCTCCCCATAAAGAAACTCTGACAAAGTCACCACACATTTGCCATTCTCAATGACCTATGCCCTTGAGATAGGATGCTCTAGAAATACGAAATAAGAAAATAACAAATGGGGGGGGGTGCTCATCTATGCACGAATCCGTTTTCCTCCTAGCCAGATACATATTTTTGGTGAAATAGTATAAAAATATTATCCTTGTCACTAATATGAAATATATTATCTAAAATGTTAACTGCTTTTATTTAAAATCATGATGAATCTTTTAAGTTTTCCTGAAATTGCCTGAGTATGCATTGCATATCATTAAATGGCTCATAAATGAAAATATGTTCCAGGAATATTCTTAGCTGCTCCTGTGAATAGCCTTTGAGGAGTCAGTAGAAGTGTAGGGCTTATCTTCTGGCTTCTGTTAACTTCTAGGCCCCAGGGGAGGCTGGGCCAAGAGGAAGTCATAGTCCCTGACTCCCTGGTGGTCTTCTTACCTGCTTCTGTTCCCTTTGTCTCCTGGTCCACAGGTCTGAGCAGGGATGTCCAAACACTTAAGATCCAGATGGTGAAATTCCATCCAGATATGAGGAGATAGTCACTAAAGGCCTGGAGACAAATAGCAGCTACTGGCCAATGGAAAAGGTCTCTACTCCATGACCTTGAGCACTGGGAAAGCAGGAAGGTTTTGCTGATGTTGCAGGCTGTCTATTATCATGGTGTTTCTCAATTTTTTTTTTTTTGCCTACATTTTTTGGTAAGAAATATATATGTATGTAATATATAACTATATATATAATGGAAACAGAAATTTCCTAAATCAATATTTTCCCCTCCCCTTTGAAATATGCTTATTTTCTCTCATTTTCTATTCTGCTCTATTCTATTTCATTTCTAAAATGTCGCTCAGATGGAAAACAAATCTGTGGTTTCCAGGGGTTATGAACAGTATGTCTGGCAGGAGGAGACAGTGACTATAAAAAGGTAATTTTGCCTTTCGTGGTGAGGGAGAGTTTTGTATCTTGATTATGGTGGCAGTGATCATACACATATATATGTATGACAGAATTGCACACACACATAAAGGTGTGCTCGTAATAATGGGAAATCTGAGTAAGGCCACTAGTCGGTAGTAGGTAAATGTACTGGGCCAGTGTCAGTTTCCTGGTTTTGATAAGGTGCTATAGTCAGCTAAGATGTCTATTGGGTGAAGCTGGGCGATGGGTACACGGGACCCCTCTGAACTACTTTTGCAACTTCTTGCGCATGTCTATTTCAAAACAAAAATGTTTTGAATATTACTCAAGACCCATTAAATTACTCAAGGTCACAATCCGTACTTTAAAAATGAAACCCTGGTTCACCAAGAGTGGATGTTGGATCAGCAGCAACTGTGCCTACATAAACTGATTTGTCTGAAGAGATACATCGGCCTGTGCAGACCTGTATTTGAACTGGCTGGAACTCCACAACCTTAAGTCTCACTAGCCCCCACCTCAACCCCTGCCAGTGGACTGGGAAGCTAGGGGTTGCACAGAGTAGACAGACTTTTATTTCATTTTCTTTGTGTGTCATCCTCTAAATGTCCCTACCCTATCCCTCCCCCATTTTTTTTTTTAGACACTTGATTTTTTTTTTTAGACACTCATTCCACCGCTCGGACATTAGAGCACTGTTTCTCAAAGCGCCGTCATTGGCCCCCTGCCTCACTTAAGGCTATGAATGCAGATTCCTGCTACTCACTGAAACTCACTTAATTAGATTCTTTGGAGGCGGTGTTCAGAAATATACACTTTTAAACAAGCTTGCCAGAGGTTTTTATGTGCACCACGTTGGCTTGAGAAGCTTGTTGAAACCTGATCCGTGAATATGCAGGACGTCAATTACAACACTGGAAGTGAATTTGAGTTAAAAAGTTCCTCTGTTGTGAAGATAGGATTTCTGAGGTTAGCTTTCGTTCCAACTTATATGATCTTTGAGCAATAAAGTTTCCAATGTTGACATAAGCCATGTTTCCTGCCTTTGATGACAAAAACATTACTTTGGTGACTCAGTTTCTCCAAATGTGAGGACAAAAATTCCAGTAATCTCCCTAATTCACAGCACTTCCGTAGATAATGACCGTTTGTTCTCAGATGGAAGTAATTTCATTAGCATAAGTGGATGCATATTTTATAAACACAGACGCATGTGTTTCATATTCTTCTCATATTTATTTACACATTCTGTAAACACATGTATACACAGAGCCACATGGACATTTTTAGAGGAGCACATGGAACATTTTGCACATGTAAATACCACAGTTGATGCCTCTGGGGCTTTTTTTCTCAGGTGGCAAATCGGTTACCACTCAGAGGCTCTCAGTTACTACTTTTCCCAAATAAAAATACACCCAGGTCAGCCTCTGGACTCTTCTCAATCTCCCTCCTCCTCTCGGAATGTCCTGGCCTCTAGAGCGTCTAATTTATTGGGGAACTGATGCATCCTAAAATGGTAATGATTTCTAGTAAGTCAATATCATGGCTTTCCAGATAACATCTCTAAATGTACCCAGCCTTAAAGAAGAGAAGTTAGATTGACGAGGTTCTACTTTCCGCCAAGAAGATTTTATAGCTCCCTCCTATGAACACCAAAGGTCTTGGACATACTTGGAGTCAAGTTAAAGTGAACCTTGTCCTGGAAATTCAGGCCCACACAGAGCTCAGTGGTGGAACGCGTGGAATGGCAAAGGTGGCAAAGGTACTCTTAGATGTTAAGATATTTTCTTTCGGGGCACCTGCCTGGCTCAGTTGGAAGAGCATGCAACTCTTGATCTCTGGGTTGTAATTTCCAGCCTCTCGTTGGGTGTAGAGATTACTTAAAATGAATACATTTTAAAAATAATAAAATAAAATGAATAAATAAATTTTGGAGCGCCTGGGTGGCTCAGTGGGTTAAGTGTCCGACTTCGGCTCAGGTCATGATCTCACCGTCCATGAGTTTGAGCCCCACATCAGGCTCTGTGCCAACAGCTCAGAGCCTGGAGCCTGCTTCGGATTCTGTGTCTCACTATCTCTCTGCCCCTCCCCCTGGTTGCACTCTGTCTCTCTGTCTCTCTCAAAAATAAAATAAAAACATAAAAAATAAATAAAAAATAAAATTTGAAAATAATAATAAAATAAATGAATAAATACATTAAAACTTAAAAAAAAAATAGTTTCTCTCTACTGAGCCTCTTACATGAGGCTGAAATAGACCCAAATGTTATCTCTTGCATCAGAAGCACTCAGTTAACTACAATCCAGTGTCTCTTGAACTAAATTTTATTTTTTTCCAGATACTAAATACAATGTGAGAGGGAAAAGAATGTTAGGTATAAATGGTGCTCTACCAATGTTCTCTTGATTTAAACAGTGTGTTTTGGTCCAGAGACCGTGTGATCCTGTTTTCCCCCCTCTTTAAATTTGTTAAGTTTTGTTTGGTTTTTTTTCTGATAGTGAAGGCAAAAATAACTGTCGCCTGCTAAGGGTTTATGTTGCACCAGGAACATCCTAAACCCTTTTACATTCATCCTTGCAAAAGGGCTAGGGGGTTAGTGTTCTTGTCCTCATTTTATAGGTGAGAAAATGGATGCTCAGAAAGAGCCAATGGCTTGTTCAAGATTATACAGCTAATTAGTAACTGATTAATAAAAAGATGTGAATCTAACACCCATGTGCTGGGTTGGATAATGTTCCCCCAAGTTCACCTATTTCCCAGAACTTCAGAATGTGACCTTATTTGGAAATAGGGTCATCATAAACATAACTAGTTAAAGCCATAGTGGAGTAGGGTGGGCCCCTACCCCAATATGGTGGTGTCTATAAAAAGAGAAGAAACACAGAGCTCCAGGAGAATGCCACGTGATGACAGAAGAGGCAGAGATTGGGGTGATGAGGATGGCTGGTAACACGTGAAGCTGAGAGAAAGACACGGAACAGATTCTCTCCTAGAGGCTTCAGAGAGGACATGACCCTATTGACAAGTTGCTTACCGACTTTCAGTTTCCAGAAGTGTGAGACAATAAAATTTTTGTTGTTTCAAGCCACCCATTGTGTGGTACTGTGCTACGGTGGCCCTTGGAAACTAATACAGCCCATGACATAGTCTCCAACCTGTTTAGTGTTGAAATTTTGGAAAATTTCAAAGAGAATTTACTTGATCTCAAGTTCCAGAGCCAACCACTGTGGATTGTTACATTTCAGGCTCCCTTTACTTCCTCTCCACAGCCATTCCACCCATTTCTATGTTTTAAAAATAGTACCAGCACTATTGTGTATTTTCTTCTCCTTTGTTGTTTGGTCAGCTGTATTCTTTACGGGATGTGCCTTTAGGATAGTGAAAACAGCTGTGAACGCCAGCATCCTCTGTGTTCTATCATCATCATCAACAACCTCATCCTCATCATTTCAGTTCCTGGAAATTGGTCTGGTTGAGATGATGGTGGGACCCATCTGTGATGTGGAACATTGGCACAAACAATGGAACAAACTGGCTATGCGTGAGGTCCCCAGAAGATGGCAGTGTGCATCATAAAACCATGCCATCCACATTTGGCCACTTAGCCACCAGCCTGTGAATCCTGGTAGATGGCAGGCGACAGGCCTTAGGCTCCGGGAAGGACCTTCGTGAAGGATACTGGAAACAGCAATCAGACCGCTAATTAGCCTGAGAGGCCACTTGGAGTGAATATTTTCAGGCTTTGCAAGGTCTTTCTTGTTTTGTTTTGTTTTTTTTATAATAAAATTGTTTTGTTTACTTTTTAAGTTTATTTATTTTGAGAGAGAGAGAAAAAATGAGGGAGGGAGGGGCAAAAAGAGAGGGGGACAAATAATCTGAGGCAGGTTCTCTGCTGACAGCAGAGAGCCCGATGTGAGGCCTGAACCCACAAACTGTAAGATCATGACCTGAACTGAAAGTCAGATGCTTAACCAACTGAGCCACCCAGGTGCCCTGCAAGGTCCTTCTTGGTAAAGAGAGAAACTGAACTGCCACTCTAAGCCCTTCGCTTGAAGAAATTTCCCATTCAGACATTGGAGATTGTTGTCACTAATATTTTGACGTATCAGCTACAATCTCTATAATCTGTCCCTTACTGATCTAAGGGTTTAAGGCAGGCATCTCAGTTCCCATGTATATAGACTGTGCACAAAAGAAGGGACGGCTCAGCAAGAATGAAGCAGGGAAAGCTTGGAAGGATCAAGGAGACAGAACACCAGGACACTATTTCTTCAGTGTTTACTAGCTGTGTGATTCTGGGGTTCTCACTTAACCTGTCTGAGCCTAAGTATCCTCTTGTTCTGTTTTTATTTTGTTTTTCATAGGCAGAATGTCTGCTCTGCTGATCCTGCACTGTCAGAGCATAGCTCAAATGAGAAATGACTATTAAAGCTATAAAGTATTTTTGTTATCAATTATTTTCATAGCAGTAATTCTCAAACATTATCTTAGATTAGAATCACGGGCAGAGCTTACTAAACCATGGATTGCTGGGCCCTGCCCCAGAGTTTCTTTCTGTTTTTTCTTTCTTTCTTTCTTTCTTTCTTTCTTTCTTTCTTTCTTTCTTTCTTCCTTTCTTTCGAGAGTGAGCATGAACAGGGGAGGGGCAAAGAGGGAGGGAGACAGAGAATCCGAAGCAGGTTCCGTACTGTCAGTGGGCAGCCCAACATGGGGCTCGAACACACAAACCACAAGATAATGACCTGAGCCGAAACCAAGAGTCAGACGCTTAACCAACTGAGTCACCCAGGCGCCCCACCAGAGTTTCTGATTCAGTAAGTCTGGGTGGGCTGGAGAATTTGCAGCCCAGACAAATCCCGGGGGGATACTAATGCTGCTGTCAAGGAGGACACCTCGAGAGCTCTCGAGGACACCTCTAGCTTACTTCTTAATGCAAATTAAAGAAATTATTTTCAAAACATTGGGAAATGGTGTCCTAGCCTTTATCCTGTGTGTATGTGTGGTCAGTACCTAGATGTAGTCAAATATGTAACTATCTTTTAGATTGTGTCTCTTCTGCTGGTCTATAATTTGCAAGAGCAGGTGTTTTTGCCTTATGGTATTGGCCATAGTCCACCCACCATGGCTGCCACCACCAGCTAATGGTTGCTGCATGCCTAGTGGGACCAATGTGGTCCTCAGGGTTCCCTCAAAGGCCAGAAGGGAAGCTCAGTGAAGACAAACACCTATCTTGGGAATGCTACCAGAAGTGGTTGGAAGTGTTTGGGTCACTGCTGGCTCTCCAGCCCCTTACCCTGCTCTATTTTCACCATAGTACCCCAAGTCTTATAATACAATTTTCTATTGTTTCTTAGGTTTATTTCTTGTTTACCATCTTTCTCTCTGCCCCCAGATATAAGGAGCAAGAGTTTTGTTTACTTCAGTATGTCCCGAGAGCAGTGGCCAGTGAATAAGAGGTGCACAAACATTGCCCTGAATGAATGGATAAATGCTGGCCATGCCCTGCCTTTTCCAGTCACTCCTGATTCCACAAAGCACACATGAGCCTACTTACCGCCTTCCAGGATGACCACAAGGACTGTGGCATTGTTTTAGGGAAACACACACTAACCACAATGAACTATAAAACCCAGGTACTCAGTTCACGTTTAGAGCATGAGGTGGGGTTTACTGTATTTAGATTTTACCAAAAATGACAGTGCTGCTGCATTTTCTACATTTTATGGATTCTGAGGTCAAGGCTAGGTAGCTATTATTACCAGTTTGAGATTCTGTTTTTTCTGATCCTATAACTTGTGATTTGGGTTTTGGGATGGAACTGATCATAAGGTTGGTTCAAGATGATGATTAAGATTCTGCACTAAGAGCCTGAATAGACTAGGAAGCTGTAAAGAGAAGGCTCAGAGGAACCAGAAGCTCAGAGAAAGTATAACCTGAAGAAAAAAGATATGCACACCCAAATAAATGCTCCCCAAGTCCAGTTAAAAGGCAGTACTATGGGGCACCTGGGTGGCTCAGTCGGTTATGCATCTGACTCTTGATTTCGGCTCTGGTCATGATCTCACGGTTTGTGAGATTGAGCCCCGCGTTGGGCTCTGTGCTGACAGTGTGGAACCTGCTTGGGGTTCTCTCTCTCTCTGTCCCTTCCCTGCTTGAGTGTGTGCTCTCTCTCTCTCAAAATAAATAAATAAACTTTTTTTCTTTTAAAGGCAGTATTAGTGGAACTAGCAATCATTGAACACTGACAACGTTGCAGGTGGCAAGCCAAGTGCTTAGTCTTCAGGAACATTTAATTCCCTACCCTATAAAGTATACGCTAGGCTGTACCATATGAAGTTGTCATTTTTATAAGTCAAAAAAAGGTTGAGCACAGCAATATCATTTGCTTAAACTAAAAATTATCATTCCCATCTTATAGATAAGGAAAATGAGCCTCAGAGGGGATAAATAACCTGTCATCAAGCATTTGGCTAGAAAACTATGGAGTAAAAGATTTTGAACCCAGATCTGGTAGTCTCCAAAGACCGCTCCCTTCCCACTATATTATGAGGCTCTTGAAAGAAGATGAAGCTTAGGAAAAGCCATAAAAAGCCAGTTTGTATTGTACTGGTCAACATTTCTTTTAATAACTTATAGTTCTTTACTCTTCCTTTATAGTCATAAATAATGCACTTCAGGAGAACTGTATGTACAACGTTGAAGGAGCCTGAGTACTGAAAGAACCACAAATGGCTGTTTTCAGGTTATCAAATTTTAATAACATTATTTTGTTGCAATACTGCATCGAGCCTTTTAAAGAGAACGTTCCAAGAACTCATTATGTGATTATAAAATAATAAGCCTGTTTTTACAGAGTGATGAACAAGAGCCAGTCCCTCCTTGTGACAATATTCAGAATGCCCTAAATTTTTTAAAATCCTAAGCACATAATCCTCAAGCAAGAGTAGATAAAGCACAAAGTAATATAAGCAGAGAACTAAACAAAACGTGATCAAAATTAATCTGGTACATATTAAGGACACTCTTTTTTAATGTTTTTATTCATTTTTGAGAGGCAAAGCACGAACGGAGGAGAGGCAGAGAGAGAGGAAGACACAGAACATGAAGCTGGTGCCAGGCTCTGAGCTGTCAGCACAGAGCCTGATGTGGGGCTCAAACCCACTAATCACGAGATTATGACGTGAGCCAAAATCAGACGCTTATCTGACTGAGTCACCCAGGCGCCCTGTGACACTCTTGATCATATCTCTGAATGATAATAGTCTAGACGTTGGTGATTTTTCAGTTAACTGTGATGGGAATCTTTGGGGTCTTGTCTTCAGTGTTCTGGTTTCATTGTTGTAAGTTTTCCCTTCTAGTGTGTTGTTTCATCCTAAACGCACACATTTTCGTGGCACTACTTAGAAGCTTAATAAATATGGCACAAGTAAGTGATGTTGAGAGACGAACATCTTGGTATCATTTTTTCAGGCAGGTGGTAACCACTGTGCTAAACACCGGGATGAAAATAAAGCAGCATTAGACATGTTTCTGGCTGCTCACATTGTATGTCTCAAGATGAAACTTCTGTGATCCGACACTGATTGGCGAATGAACAGAACAGAAACAGTTTTGGACTTCATGAGATTTTGACACTACAGCAGTAAGGGGGTAAAAACGTGAGTTGGTCAGTTTAGACGTCCTCATTCACATGCAATGGGTAGAAATCCTGCCATTTCCACAGTATTAATAGCCACTCTCCAATAACTGGTTTTTTCTAATTGTGACAAGTTGTAACAAGACAAGATGGAGGCACACAAGTGGCTGTGCCAGAGGGTTAAATGTATAAGGAATGGGGTAAACGGATTATGATGGGGATTCTTATGTCCAACTTCACTTAATGAAGGATCCTGATCAGAATCAAATACATATGATGCTTCATGATATCTGTGGTGTCCAGTGTCACCTTGTTTAAGATAAAATCTGTTGGGGCGCCTGGGTGGCTCAGACGGTTGAGCATCTGGCTTTGGCTCAGGTCATGATCTCACAGTTTTTGAGTTCGAGCCCTGCGTCGGGCTCTGTGCGGACAGCTCAGAGCCTGGAGCCTGTTTCAGATTCTGTGTCTCCCTCTCTCTCTGCTCCTCCCCTGCTCGTGCTCGCTCTCTCTCTCTTTTTTTTAAAAAATAAACATTAAATGGGGCGCCTGGGTGGCGCAGTCGGTTAAGCATCCAACTTCAGCCAGGTCACGATCTCACGGTCCGTGAGTTCGAGCCCCGCATCGGGCTCTGGGCTGATAGCTCGGAGCCTGGAGCCTGTTTCCGATTCTGTGTCTCCCTCTCTCTCTGCCCCTCCCCCGTTCATGCTCTGTCTCTCTCTGTCCCAAAAATAAATAAATGTTGAAAAAAAAATTAAAAAAAAAAAAAATAAACATTAAAAAAAATGAGAAAAAAAAGATAAAAACTTGTTTCCCAGAATCTCCTCCTTGTGTGGTTCCAGGTTAGATTAGCTCAAAAGAGGAATTTACGTGAGGAAGTGAAGCAACAGCCATAACTTTTGGAAGGTCACGGTGGTTAGATGCAGTGACAGACATTCTTACAGGTGCTGGAAGATTCCAGATTGTTCTGTCTCCTGTGCTCCATATCTCACTCTTCTTCCTGGCTTCCGGCCCCACTGACCGATGGCAGCCCCCATCAGGGCCATCATCAGATGCCTAGCTGTGTAGCCCCAAACACAACAGTTTCTCCTCCAGCTGCTTCTTGGTGGTCCCATCTGGGGGGTCTGGATGTGCTTGGCTTCTGGGACTGATGATGCCAGACTCCTGTGATCCCCTGATCTTCCTTTTAAGCCTTCACTTCTCAACACCTCCCGCCATTTTGTAAGGCCAAATTCCTGTAACAGAACCTGCCTTTCATAACTCAAGGTGGTTCCCTTTTCCTCATTGGACCCTGACAGAAATGGCAACAATTTAATTTGTAATAGCTCTGTTGTTTGAAATTGAACACACACTCATAATCTAAAAAGTTGAGCAATATACAAAAGTATAAGGAAGAAAGCAAAGAAATAACCCCAAATCCCACTTACTTAGTCTCACTAACCAGAAATAGATTCGGTGTTAATTTTCCACCAATTTACCTTCTATCCATCCACAGAAAAAAGGAGAAAATTGTTGTAATGGATCTGGGTAAATAATTAAGTTTCATGCCATTGCCAGCCTGAATCCTGTATGTGGATTATTTTTTGGATTGAAAAATAGATGTGCTTATTTCTCATTCTACGAGCCTGATTCATAAGCATATATGCTAAAGAAAATTTTAAGTGGCATTTCTCCCTCATTTTAATTAGCCTCCATATATAAGACATTTTTGTTCCAATCGTAACTATAACTACAAATACCTCCCTTCCTCAACCCAAAGAAGCAGAGTTGAGTGTAATTTGTGGCACACTCCATTTCTAACTTGAGTATCATTGCATTTTTTCCCAGAAGAGCAATCTCTTGGGAAAAGAGTCAGGATACTTTGGGTAAGATGTCATAGCAACAGCTTAAATGGAGAAAAGATTGTGGAAATATATCTTCCCACACTTTCCAAACCCAGACTTATGCTCCATTCATGCTTTTAACCATGAAAGACCCAAATAAAGCATGAGAAATTGAAATCATTTTTTTTCTTTAAAAGCACCCCTTAATTTCCCCTCCAGAAAACAGGTTGGAAGAGAAAATGTGGCCCTTGGCCCATTGCCATAGATAGATCCCAAGACCTTCCAACTCTGCAAACCCTCCAGCATGTACCACAGGATGGAACAATGGGATTGAGCTGAGCTGTGGTTGCTGGACAAGGGGACAGCCTCACTCACTAGTTTGGGGGCTCCCTCCTACAGACCAGCTTCCCGGAACAGAGGATTCAAGGCTCACATTGTATGCCAAGGCATAAGTGTCAAGCTACCGCACCACTTGAAATAGCTCAAAGCTCAAATATTGAATCTGCAACAACTAGGAGTAAGGCAGTAATAAATTTCACTTCTGGTCTGAAGATCCAAACTTTAGCTCCAGCTCAGACACACATGTGATCTTATGTAAATTACCCAACCTCTCTGTTGTACAAGGTGAAGATAAAAATGACATAATGTCCGAAAACATTTTGTGAATTGTAAAATGCCATGTGCACTTTATAGAGTGTATCATGGCAATCTGAGTGACTGGTATGAGGAGGGACCATTCACTCCAAAGCATTTCCTGAATCTTCCACAAATTCTCCAGGCTCTGTATTCTCAGTGTCATCCCTGGCTTCATCCAAGAAGGCTGTCATTCTTTCTGCTTCCTCTGAGTCCCACTTCTGTATCATTTCAGATTCCCTATTTGCTGTTCCTGCACCATAATTTGGCAACCCAGATGTGGAATTCAGGTCCTTTCCTCAGTTTTTCCCCCCAAACTTCACACAAGGCCTGTGCTCATAGCAGACTTTGCTAAAGTTTTTAAGGAAACAAAGTGGGTTTGCAGAAACTCCAAACAATGTAAAACTGAGTCACCCTCTCTGCTCTTTGATCTATTTCCCTCACAAAACCAACATTGCTGACACTCTTCCTGGTCTCTTGCTACACTGCCTAAGAGACCTCCTCCTCCGTATTTAACCGTGCTCCCTGCACTCGATCCAGGCAAGTCGCCATCACCAGGTGTCTCCCTTTTTTTTTCTTCACCCCCAGTCTTTGCAGGGGAAAGGGAGCGATAAAGAAATTTTATCTTCTCCTGGAGGGTAAAGTGTGTGAAAATCACCCCTCCCCCTTAGAAGAGAGAAGTAGCTATATAGTCCATTTGTTTTTAACAATTTTTTTCAATTGTTCATTCATTCAATGAGTATTGAATTCCTTCAATGTGCCAGGTCCTGTTCTAGATGCTGAGATGCAGCCACAACAGACAAAAATCCTGCCATTGTGGAGCTTCTACTCTAGAGCAGGGGGCAGGGGAGACAATAAACAAACGCACAATTAAAAGGAATGTATATCCAGGTATGAGAAGTAGACAAAGATAAAGCAAGATAGGGCAATAGGAAGAAATGATGGTGGGAAGGTAGCTTGCAATTTTATGCTAAGGAGTCAAGAAAGGCCTCTTTGAGAAGGAGCCTTTTTAGCAAAGACCAGCAACATGCTTGGGAATGGATCATGAGACCATGGGGGGATGATGTTGCAGGCAGAAGAATGAGCCTGTGTAAAGACCCCGAGGCAGCTTGCTATCACAACTGTATTCTATCTCCATGAAAGATAAGATTTCACTTTTAGCTTAGCTCAATGTTAAGAGTTCCTTTAGGGTCCCAGAAGTTCCTCAAATTTATCCTTACCTTCCTTTTGTATATCCTTTTGGTTGTACCTCCTAAATATATCTTGAGTCTATCCTTTCCTCTCAATCTGACTTACCACTGCATTCATGGGTTCTCCCCTGAATTACAGACATTGCTTCCCAACTGGAGAGTCCAGCCTGCTTCAGTCCCCATCCGAGTGATTTAGAATTTAAATACAAACGCATTGCTCTGCTGCACTAAATAGCTCAACCAACTCCCTCCAACCCCCATACACTTACAGTAAAATCCCACCCTCTCAGCATGGCTGCAGCAAAGATTATCAGGGCCCTACTCCTATCCACTAGCACTGGCTGTTCCAGGATATGCCCAGAGCATCCTACTGTAAGCACCTGCTGCTCTTCACTTGAGGGAGTTCTTAGTTTGAGCAATGGAGCATAAGTGCCAGGAAATTAATGCTCCTGGGCAGCAGGCTTCAGTCAATGATAAATGGGAACTGAAGGATGAATTCTCCATCTTCCTGGCCCCTGGGGCAGGGAAGCAGGGGAAGAGGGAGAGAATAACTGAGGTATTGTCCATGATATCTCCCAGATTTTCCCAGTGGAATCGACCCCAATGGCCCACAGGAGCAGTCTGCTCCATAATGCACATTATTTTTGCTTCCTTCCCTTCTCTGTCTTGCTTCCCCACTCCTCCACCAGTGCTTCATAGAATCACCTCTCCCAAATAAATTACTTGTACTCAAAACTTTGTTCTTTTGTTATTGTTGTAAGTTGAACTGTGTTTCCCAAAATCATATGTTGAGTTCCTAACTCCCAGCTACCTGTGTATATGACCTTATTTCTTTATAGATGTAATTAAGATGAGGTTCACACTTGATCAGGGTGGGCCCTAATCCATCCAATATGATGTGTGTTCTTGTGTGTATTTGTGTGTCTGTGTGTATGTGTGTGTGTGTGTGTGTGTGTGTGTTTAGTTACTTTAAGACAGCGTACGAGCAGGGGAGGGGCAGCGAGACAGGGAGAGAAAGAATCCCAAGCAGGCTCTGCGCTGTCAGCTCAATCCCACAAACCGTGAGATCATGATCTGAGCTGAAATCAAGAGCTGGTCACCCAACCAACTGAGACACCCAGGCATCCCAAAGTGTGTTCTTTTAAGAAGAGGGGAGACACACACAGGGAGGAGAAGGCCATGTGAGGGGAAGGCCGTGTGTGACAACAACACAGGGAGAATGCCATGTGACAAAGGCAGAGGTTGGAGCGATACATCTACAAGCCAAGGAATTCCAAGGATTGCCAGGAACACCACAAGCTAAGAGAAAAGCAAGGAACAGATTCCTCCATAGAGCCATCAAAGAGAGCATGCCAACACATTGGTTTCTGACTTCTGGCCTCCAGAACTATGAGATAGTAAATTTCTGTTGTTTGAAGCCACCCAGTGTGTGGTACTTTGTCATGGCAACCCTAGGGACATCAATGCAGTTATCTATTGCTATGCATAACAACTGCCTCAGAACTCAGTGACAAAAACAACGGCCATTTTGTTTTATCTCACAACTTCCTGGGTCAGGAATTTGAGAAGGACTCAGCACAGTCTTCTGTCCCATGTGCTGTTGACTGAAGTTACTCACTGGTATTCAACTAATAACAGGGCAA